AGATGGAAGACTAGAGAAAAGGCATTTAGTGTAGAGCCTGGCACATAAATATTTCTGCACCTATCTATCAGGAAGTCGGTGATGCCTCTGGTAGAGAACATATTCAGAAGAGGAACATGCAGGGTTTGGGGTGAGAAGGCTGTGCTGTGACTGCCTAGGGGTGCCACAGTCCTCTCTTCATTCAAGAATCCCCATATGTCACCAGGCGTGGTGGTGCACACCTGTAATCCCAGCGGTTCAGGAGACTGAGGCAGGAGAATCGTGAGTTCAAAGCCAGCCTCAGCAATAATGAGGCACTAAGCAACTCAGTAAGACCCTGTCTCTGAATAAAATACAAAATAGGGCTGGGGATGTGGCTCAGTGGTTGAGTGCCTCTGAGTTTCAATCCCCAGTACAAAAAAAAAAAAAAAAGAATCCCCATATTTCCAGTTCCTGCAGGCATCTCTACCAGAGGATGGTGTCCCCAGACAAGACAGCAAGCCTTCTTACCACAGTGTGTGTGTGTGTGTGCATGTGTGTGTACCTCGTGTGTGTGGTAGAAATATTATTTCCAGAAAAGAGCAATTTATATTTCCCCCAATCCATACCCAGTCCATGTGCAGATTCTCTCAATTCTGCTTTCAAATGTGTCCCAGCTCTGTTATGTTCTCCCATCTTCATTCTGGATCCCTCACCTGGACATCAGTAAGAACCTTCTCAGTATTCTTCCTGTGTCTACTGCAACCTCCTCTAGTCTGTGTTCTGCCCAGCAGTGGAATGACTAGCTGACACATGGATTAGCCCATAGCACTGCCCTGGGGTCACCCACATCACTGCAGATATGCTCCATTCTTCTTACCATGGCCAGCAAGACCCTTCGAGCCACTCTAGGTTTCTTCCACCCTCAGTTCCTGCTGTTCCTCCCTTAGCCACAGGTGGCCTCTTTCATTCTCCCTCATCCCACACTCCTTCCTCTTTCACAGGCTGTCTACTCTGCCCAGACACCTTCCCCTTGTCTTTGGTGTCTCCTCTTCATCCTTGGACTCCCACCTCGGCTTGGATTTCATTTCTTCAAAGACACTTTGTCAGACCATTCCAAGCTGAATATCTCTTCCCACCAGGGCATTTATTCTGTTTCTACAACCTGTACATTTTATACATGGCTGTTATCCTAATTTGCAAGTATATATTGATGGATGGGTTCACTCAACACGAGTTATTTAGCCCCACTATGTGCCAGTCACCTTGCTAGAAAATGAATTTTCATCAAAGCACAAAAAAGATGAAATCTCTGCTCTCATGAGATGCACATTTTCACATATAGGAGATTGGCAATAAACAAATAAGTAACTGAGCAAAGTAGTGAGTGTATAAATAGTGGTATGCTGAGAATTAAGATAGGGCCACGGAACAATGTGTCATGGTCACATGGTAAGGAAAGGCCTCTCTGAATAGTTGGCACCAAGTTGAGATCTGCATAAGAATACTGCTCAGCACACCTTGGTGGAAAGGACAACTACAAGAAAGGTGCAGCCCTCAGAAAGACTGAGGTGAAACCAAGCTTGGGGTGTTGGCAGTGCTACAGATGCAATGGCAATGACCAAAAAAGCAAGAAAATAAGTAAAAGAAAAGCTCATGATATTCCTGCAATATCCGGATGAGAGAGATGGCTCCTTTGGACTAATAGAGAGGGGAGGACAGATGTCCATGTACACTTTAGAATTAAAGTTGACAGATCTCAATGATGAGAGGCAGGAAGGAAAATCAGTTTCTTCCACTGGAGGATGAGCTTCAAAAAACAGGGACCATAGTGATCTTGTTCACCTGGCACTGAATGTGGTTGAATGAGTGAGTGAGTGTGTGAACCTTCCAAGGGAGAAGGGGCAGAGGAAGAAGGTAAGGGCAGGTTTCATAGAGATGAGGATGTCCATATGAGGTTCAGAAAGGTGATCTGAAGTTTGTCAGGTAAACAAGACAGGGAAGAGCATCAGAGGATGAGGGAACGGCTTTGCAAAGGAGGCATGAAACATACAAAATAAACAGAACAGTGTCACTGAAGTCCTTCATCTGCCAAAGGTGAACTGTCAGCTCTGCAACTGGGCCAGATTCCAGAAAAGCCAGAATGGAGAATACATGGCTGTCTTTGTCACATCCTGATACCAAGACAAATAATGAAAGCTCGAAAGATCATGAAGGAGGAAAAAAACAACAAAAAAAAAAACACTCAAATCCAGAAGTTCAAGCCCCAAACCATACAGATTCCTGCAGAAAGTAGAAAGCTGTCATTTGTACCCATGAGAAAGTTCTGGGACTCATTGAAGTCTAACATCACCTCCCCAAAATCCACGACTCCCCTTGATTTGTTTGATGCATGCCGTCTTTGGGGGAGAAGCCTTTGATCTAAGGGACACATTAGGAAAAAAAAAAACAGTCTTGGGCATCCTTTGGGACAAACCCAGAGAGGATCTGAGACAAACTCAAGGACAAAAGACTCCCCCAGAGCAGAGCAGTGTGCTTCATTTCAATCGTTCCATACCAAGCTCAGCCATTTGAGGACATGAAGGTACCACCCAGGATGTATCTTAGATCAAGCACTTAATAGAACATAAATTAAAGTCATGTAGATCAAAGATAGAGAAAGAGAAAAAAAATGGTCACAGAGAGGAAAGGCAGAGGAAAAAAGGGGGAGAAATGGGAGACCGATGACTGGAAAGAAAGGAAATGAGAAAGAGGGTATGAGAGAGAGAGACGGAGAAAAAACTAACCAAACATCAAATCCAGAGAAAGGGTGTAGGCCGTGCAATTTGTCAAAGGGAGAGAAGGTAGATGTTTTTGTTCTTTGTAGGTTAATATGTAAATGACATTCTGATTTATTAGCGATCTCCAGCAGATGAGGTGATGATTAGCACATTTCCATATTTATAGAAAAGCAACACTAACTTTCCAGATTTATAGAAAATCAGCTCTTCACAAATAGCAAATTGTGCTATTATCGACATATGGTTTTCTATAAACAGAGTTGAGGTAATTATCCCTGGGACAATTTGTCGGTGGGCTCCTTTTGAATATTAACCACGTTGGAAGCCCATCTCTGCCCCCACAGATTTTAAAGAAGGAGGGGCCACTCCATACCCAAGGCAATTAATTAGTAATCCCACCCTAAAGACAGGAGCCCAAATGAAAGGCTATACCAAACCACCATGGGAAACTAAATTAGCTTCCCTGAGGAGCCTCCCCACTTGTATGGCTAAAACTGGGGTAACAGCTACCTCCAAGTGTTGTTGTAAAAGTAAAAAGAGAATATCTGTAGTTGTACTTGGAACCTAGGCAGTGCTCACCAAACATTAATTCTTTCTCATCCCTCTCATTTTTTAATGATTCTAAAAGGACTCACTTGAATACAGTTTTTCTCTTTTTTACAGTGATCCATAGTAAGCTGTTTATTTTGTATTATTATACAATGCATGCATATCTCTATTATCTCTATTTAACTAGAAAAAGTTTCCTGAAGCAATAATTTAACTTCAGTGCCTATAATCCACTGTGTTATTTTCTATTCTATCTTTTGTTATTCAAAATTTTGCGTGTGATCCATACATTGATTTTTAGACCTCCTATTGGATTGCAACCTGCAGTTTGAATACTGAGGGTAGAAACAACCTTTTTGTCCCTAGAACAAACACTGGAATATTAGATGTTCAACAGAGTATCTTGAATTACCTTTTTTTTTTTTTTTATTTGGTGGTGCTGGGGATTGAACCCAGGGCCTTGTGCATACGAGTTGAATTGCTTTTTGAAAGAGAGATAGGTAGATAGATGAATTAATGAATAACCCAGCCAGGAATTCCTGTCTTGTTTTGCACACTTACTGTATTTGTAACCCTGTATTGAGCACTAGCGAGAGAGAAAAGCACCAGATACAAGGCTTGCTTTCACAGATCTTGCTATTTAGATGAGGAAGAAAAAAAAATCACATTTGGAAAAATGTTTTTTAAAGTATAAACTGTATGAAATTTATATGAATGTGTTTTTTTTTTTTTAAAAAAAAAAAAAAAAGGAGTGACTAGCCTGGGCTGGTACAGTCAAGGAAATGTCTTGAAACTATGGCAGTTTGAACTTGGCTTTGCAATTCTGATAGATCTCTTAACCTTCATTCATTCATTGAGTTGGTTAGTGGTTCTCAAACTGTAATGAGCATCAGAATCATCTGGAAGGCTAGTAAAAATAAATTCCTGTGCTCACGTCCAGAGTTTCTGGTTTGATTTAGTTAGGTTTGGAATGGGGGCTGAGAAACCACCTAACTAGCAGATTCCCAGGTGATGTTATGTGGCTAGCTGGAGACCCACACTGGAGAAGCAATGTTCTAGTAGGTTGAGTGAGATGGTGAAGGTTGTTGATGTCACACAAGGTGCTCAGACATTATTCTTGCCATTCAGGATATTAGGCAAGGAAGTAGTACCATAAATCTATGAGTAGAAAGATCTGTACGGCAGGATTGTTGAAAATGAACCAAGGAGCCTGCCCCAAGAGACCACGCAGGAACTGATGCTATAAGTAAGAGATGAGAGCCCGTCTACCACTGAAGGAGTGGAGACAGAGAAGACAGATGGATGAGAAAGAGCTGAAGGTCTGTTGAGATCCACAGGGAATCGGGGTGACTGGGTTTACAGTGTCAATGACTCACTGCATAGAAGTTCCTTTAACTAAAAATCCATATATAAAGGAAGTCTTCACACTGTAAATTTAAAAATCTCCAATTTTTTTTTTTAAAGAGGTAACTTGGAGGTAAAGGGAAGTACATTATTTAGGAGGTCTAGATGAATGAGTTCGAATCCTGTTTAGTCATTCTACCTTCCTGGATCTCACTTTCCCGGGAATAACAAGACTTATGTTACCTGATAGATTTATCAAGAACACTCAATGAGATTATCCAGGTTTCAGAGTCGGTGCTTAGAAAACAGCAAAGCCCGCCCGAGCATAAGCACTGGCCATGGTGTGTATGCAGTTTCTGCTTTACTTACCAAGCAATTCCATTTTTTCTTTGTTGAGCACCAGGATATATTCATAAGTGCCACCCATGGATCCAGATGTGATGTAGTGGGTGCCATAGTCATTGATGAACTTGGCGTACATGCCGTAATTGTACTGCTCTGGAAGCTCCATTAACGACTGCAGCATTCCTTCATCCAACATGATATTCTGTCTCCTCATCTTAAAATGGGCAGTCTGCACCTTCGTGAAGATTCTCATGAAGCTGTATTTCTGCCAGCAGCCACCATTCAAGAGGCAAACGAACAGAGAGCATTTGCCATGAGATAATGCAAAACGCTAGTATTTAGTTTCCAAGGAAAATATGTGAACATAAATACATATAATTACTATTAGATTTTACAAGCATGTATTGGACAGCAGGGTGTGCCAGACTTTTTCTTCCAAGTCCTCATCTCTTATCCCTCTGCCCCTGCCCAGGTCAAGTTCTCATCAGCTCCCACCTGGGTTAGTCCTTACAGGGGCCTCTCCAATGTGCTGTCCACCTCCAGCTTGTCTTCAGTCCACTGTCACATCCACACCTCCCCCAGTTCTAAGCAAAGCACTACACTGTGGGGGGTCTCATAGGAAAATTCCATGTATCCACTGATAATTATTCTTAGAATGGTTTTGCCAATGTGGTGAAATATCCTTTAATGTATCAAACAAATACCTATTGTGCCTATAGTTGCATGCATTACCCTCCATGCAGAGGATGTAACCTTGAATGAGGTCAACCCCTGCCACCAGAGAGCATACAGTCTAATGGTATTCTTGTTCTACTAAGTAATAAAGAAAAGCAGGAGCCTCATATAATTAATAAAAAATAGCACCAGAAGGATGTGGGTTGGTTTTCAAGGAAAAAGATCATATTTGGACGTCACTTCCAGGTACTACAAACCTTGATTCAGAGCAACAGTGAACATTTGAAAAGGCTGCTAGCTTTTAGAAAGTCCATATTAACACGCTATATAGCCAGACCTCAGAGTACCCTTTACCCTTCGGATCAATAGCTAATTTATGCTCCATATCTCAGTTTATGTTTGTTGAGTAAGTTAATTGTTATGAGTGTATTTTCATCATCCAAGATAACTTTTTGAGTCCCAACTAGATCCACAGTCCTGGTATCAGTGCTGTTGAGGCTTATTGTGAACTTCTAATCAGTTCAATAAATAGTTCCCTGGCTCCTGATTCTCTCTCCATCCTCATCTCTCCCTACGTTCCTTCCCATCCTGTGCTTCAGCCAGATGAAGCACTTTGAATCCAAGTTCTCGTGAGGCTTTCTCTGTCTCTGAGCCTTTGCATATGCTGATTCCCAGGCCTAAAACATGGCTCTGATGTGGCTATTAAGTGTCCCCAAAGATCCATGTGTTAAAGGATTGGTCACTGTTGGGGAGTGATGGGACCTGTAGGAAGTGGAATCTAGTGAAAAGTCCTTAGTTCATTGAGGGATGTGACCTTGAAGGGGATCATGGGACTTGAATTCCTTCCTCTCTCCCTTTTCGCTTCCTAATTCATAATGTGAGTAGTTTGCTTCACTATGTGCCAACCACCATTACTATCCAGCACCCCCACCAGAGGCTCAAAGCCATGAGTCCACCCCATCTTGGACCAGGACCTCCAGAATGTGAGCTAAATAAACCTTTCCTTTTATAAGTTAATTATATCTCAGGCATTTCATTGAAAGCTGACTAATCTAAATGTCCTTCTTCAACTTGTACCTCCCTTTGGACAACTTGTACTAGTCTTTGAATTTCAGCTTAGATGGATGTCCTTTCCTAAAGGAAGCAGCTTGACCCCTCCAGATAATAGGTCCTTAGTGGTGAATGTTTGATGGATAAATGAAAGATTTATTGAGCATGCCAGCTCTCTTATCTATTTGGATAAAGTGAGGATTGCTTTTCCAAGTCAAATTTAGAAGTTCTTGCTGTTTCTCTTTATCACATTACCATTCTATGCATTTCCCTGCGTGCTTCAGGTAACCATGAAAAAGGATGGGGGCGAAGTGATAAGAGCTCTAGTCCTATCGTTCAATTTTATTCCCTTTGTGATGATTCTGTGTGCAAAAGCGTAATAAGAAAAACAAACATGATTACCACTGATCAGACATTTCCAATTACACAAGCAAATTAAGGTTCAATTACTACTGTACTTTTTAATGCAATTAAGGTAATACGTGTTCAGTGTAGATTATGGAATACTGTGAGACACAGGCATTATGCTTTAATACCTTCTCATTAAACTTGCTTAACTTATTCAAGACTGAAGAGTCTTCTGAGTCGGATAAACCCACACCCACTGTTATAGGGGTGTTCGGCACTCCGATGCCAAAGCTGAATCCATTTGACGTAGACCTGTCATTTTTCACTTTAGAAAAAAGGTCATTGGCATCATCGTACAACTCTGAGGAGATCCCAGTATCTGCCAGGGCCTGAAAGAAAAAAAATTAGCTTTTTGCACACAAAGCGATCTTAGCTATCTTTCAATTCATACTTAATATTTCATTCTTTGCTTTGTCAAATATTGAAAGTTTCAGATTATTGTAAATAACTCTTTTAAAAGGCTAACCCAGGCATAATGGATACTCACTAAAATATGGAAAACACAACCATGTTAGTGTTTAGTGAAATATTTACTTAGATACTGTGTGTATGCACATACACACACACACACACACACACACACAAGATGGTTCTGATAAAATGCTATTGTGTTTTAAGCATGGCTTTCTTTGTGGATGGCTCATCCCTCCTGGAGGAGGGCTCTGCAATGGTGAAACAGAAAGCCATCTTGGGCATGGTCCTTGGAGGAGAGTGGCAAAGAAAGCCATGCTGATTATAATGTTCGTAGGTAGTGGTGAACTATAGTGCTGCCCCCAATTTTGTTATAAGCACACGATCAGGTTGCACCGCTCTGCTGACTTGAACTGAGGCAAGGTCTCACACCTTGCTTAAGCCATAGAAGCCTTCAGAGTATAGTTTGTTCTGCAAAACTGAGAGCATTTGTTGAAGTGGAGCCTCCATGGGTGGGAGTGCCTGGATATCTACCATGCTCAGAGTCTCCTCTCCACCTGAGGACGGACAGAAAGTATCACCAAGGCATTATAGTTTCCAGCCACTGGGACTTGAGAATCCTTTGTGACCACAGCAAGGCCTTGTCCATCTTGCCTAACCCACAGACCCTAGGTCTTCCTCCAGATTGGAAACTGGCATTGTCTATGTCTTCCATCTTAGTTCAACCATAGGCCTGGTAAGGAATAAAGGTTCATGTAAAGGTGGGCATGCGCTTGGGGAAGCAGACTTCTTCAAAACAGACCCCACAAACCTGGTAAGATCTCTGTCAATACTTTTCTCTTGAGAAACTTGGGGTTGGGGAGGATGTGTCTAGATAATTGCTCAGAACCCTGATATCCTGCCATCTGTCTCTATGGATATAATGAATGTGAGTACATACACATGATATGTATATATCCATCTTCTCAATGATGAATAGCCCTTGTTAGAGTTTCCATAGACAGACCTGGTCTCTGCCACCTACTGTAGCACAGCTGTGTGCAGGACACTTCATTCTTTCACATCTTTCTCTTTATACCTAAAATGGAACTATGATAATATCTATCCCACTATGTTATTTATGTGAAAGTAGGGGATTTAACACTTGTAAGCATTCAGCAAGTTTTGTTGTATGGGCATCTCACCCAAAGATGAGGGGTAAGAAAATGAATGACCATGAGCAGGCTCCAGAGCTGGTCATGAGTTTCGTTGTACTCTGAGGGACCAAGAGACCATAGGTTTTTAGAGTTGGATAGTCTTAGGGATCATTGACATGTTGCAAGCACTTTTGAACAGAAGAGCTCTTTTTTCAAACAAAATCACATACAAAAAAAAAAACCATGAAAATAATTAATGTGAGTTACTCTTGGCAAAGCAGAAGTATAAGGCTCAGGACCCTGTCCATCTATGTCCACCATCTGCTTTACAGATGAGGAAAGTGGGCCCAGGGAGGAGTAATGGGTTTATTGCTCAAGGTCTTGGGGACCTATACTCAAACACAGCCATTAACTTGCAACTAGGTCTTCTGACTGGCAGCCCAGAGAAAAGGGCCTACATCTCGCTTGTCAACTTTGAAGTAGAGCCAAGACTGGACGGATGGGTGGCCACATTTATGGCCTCTCCTGGGCCCTGTCCTTGCCTCTCAGCACCCTCCATACTGAGCATGTGTTCAAGGTAATCTTCAGCCACCAACAAACTCTACGGAAAACAAAAGCTTCCAGACCAAGGCAATTCCACCAACAAGCCTCTTTATCCCTGCCCTACCCTACAGTGGCCTGAGGGTCTCTGTTCAGACTTACTTCAAAGTGATACTTCAGAAAGTTGTACGGTTTCCGAAAGTACTTCTCATCATCTCCATAATAGAGACGCTCACAGGTGGGGTCATACTGCAGCTTTCTCCATTCCCCGTTGTATACCAGCTCACACTGGCCACCATAATACCTGGCGTCATACACACTCTGAGCTTCTTTCTGAGTCAGGATATTGTACCTGCATTGAAAAGACAACTACTGGGAAAAGAATTTTGGAAGGCAAAGCTAATAAAACATATCACCCTCTGGAACCTGTTGCAGCTATAAATGGAGTACCTTGTTTCTCAACTGTGTTCTGTGGAGATCTAGGGTTCCTCCAAGTACTTTAAGGATATACAGGAAGGCTAGGTATCACTGGGAGGCTGAGTGGGCTGGGCCTGGGCTCAAAGTTTCCCTTTAACCAAAGCATCCAGACAACTCTGTTCAGCATCTGAACCAGCTCCTTTATAAAGGAGGCACCCCTTAATTGTAAGTTAGAAATGCACACAGTTATTAAGAAAACATAGTACATCTAGCTGTGTGACCACAGGCAAATCATTTAATCCCTCTGTTCCTTAGATTAATCATTTGTAAAAAGCAATTAGTAATATCCTTATAGAGTTAAATATGAGTTAAAACATGCAAGGCACTCATAGCCGTGCTTAGCATATATTAAGTGCTGAATAAGTATTGCTATTTTTATTATAAGCATTATTCAAAAACAGGCCCTGCTGCTGAAAAAAAGTTGGTTTGGAATATTGGATGTAATGCATAGTGCTAAGGCTGAGACTCTAGTCCTTAGGTAATTGTCTCTGAAGTAGCATGTGATATCCGATGGTGCACAGTGTGAAAGCCAGGGAGTCTCCTGTGTAATTCCCAGCTCTGCCACTTCTTGCAATTGTGACTTTGTTAACACACACAAAAATTTTTTTTTGAATTGGGTAAGAGTTCTAAGACCAGACAATCAAAGCCCCTCATGTTACAGACAATAAAATTTTTGCTGTCTTCATCTCCCAAACTCCTATTTAGCCTTCAAGATCCAACCCCAATGTCACCTCCCCTAAATGACCTTTTTGCAAGCTCTGGACACAGTTAACTCCTCTCTGTTCTGATGGCATTAATTACCTCTGCATTCATCACGATTGCTTATGCCGTCTTCAATAAGGAACAAAGGCAGAAGGGAGCGAGGAATAAACTGTGAATAAAACCTATCTCAAAGAATAAATGAATAATTACAGAGCACCTGACATATGGTAGAAATTCAATGTATGTTAACTTCCTTTTTCTCTTCCTTTCCCTATTTCTTTCTTCTATTAGTGGAAGTGATGTAATAATGGCTATGATGAATTGAATACATACTAAACTAGACATTTAGCATACATTAACTTTCAACCTCATGACAATTTTGCAAATGCAAAAATTGAAGCTCAAAGAAATTAAGAAACTTGCCTGTAGTCACAGCTGGATTTTTTTTTCCTAAGATGTTTTTGACAGTAAATCTGAGTTCCTTACCTTTATTCCACCCTGCAATTTCTATCTCACTACTGATTGAACATATTTCTGCCTGTAGCTTATAAATATAGCCTCTGAACAAACCAAACAAAAATTCACAGCAACAGTGACCCCTAGGATTATACTGTAATGGCTAAGCATTAGGAAAACCCACATATCTTTGGAAAAGCTGGTGGCAAAAGCCCCAGTGAAAATGAAAAGGCATAGTCAGAGCAATTCTACCCTTCAGAAACCTACCCTGCAGAAATAATCACACATGTACAGAAGCATGTGTATAAGGATGTTCATTGAGGCATTGTTTATGAGAGGAGAAGTGGAAAAGAATCTCTTTCAATAGGAAGTATTCAAAAAAATTGGTAGTTCTAGAAGGAGAGGTAGCAAGTATATTTATATAGGGCCAGACAGTAAATATGTTAGACTTTGCAGGAAATAGGTGTGTGTTGCAGCTGCCTTACTCTGCCATGGCAGAGTGAAAGCTGTGTTCTAATAAAACTTTATTTATAAAAACAGCAGACTGAATTTTCTCTTCAGGCCATAGTTTGATGACTCCTGTTTTAAAGCACTATGTTGCTTAGGAAAGGGAGATAGAAAATAATGGGTGAGGGACCTTCAAACTGTATTATTAGATGAAACAGCAAGTTATAACAATATGTAAAGTGTGATCACATTTATGTAAAGTTTACCTACATCTTTAATGAACAACACATATAGATCTTTTTTCCAAACAGTGTATGGTGCCAATGCATTTTTTTAAAATCTATTTTGGAAGAACCTGCACCAAACTAAATAGAGTTCAGCACTAGGCTGCGAAGGGACAGGGGGTGATTGGGTGAGGTGCAGGTGTGAGGGGGAGGGTGCATAAAGACTCTAGGTTTTTACTTCAAGCTTATTTAAACAGTAAATTAAAAATCTGAAACTAGGAAATGCTTAAATTCCAAGAAAGTCGCTGAGATCTTGAGATGCACAGAAGAATTTAGGAAAGGTGTTTGAAATGTTCCTACCTGTTATCACAGGAGAAAAGAGTCATAGTCAGTGATCTTTTTGCCAATAAGGAGGGAATGAGGCTGGCTTGGTGGCACGTGCCTGTAATTCCAGCTACTCAAGAGGCTGAGGCAAAAGAATCGCAAGTTCAAGACCAGCCTCAGCAATTTAGCGAGACCCTAAGCAACTTAGTGAGACTAAGAGAAAAACTGGAGATGTAGCTTACTGGTAGACCAAGCATGGATTCAATCTCCACTACCAAAAAAAGGATTGGAGGACATTTTTCAGTAAGTGCCTTGATATTTCATGTTTAACTCTGTTCAGAGCCTTTAAAGAAATAATTAAGTTAAAATTAAGTCAGTGTAGGTGGTGTCCTTTTAAGAAGATGAAATCAGGACCCAGACCATAAGACTGGGTGAAGACAAAGGAGGGGTGGCCATCAATGAGTCCAGGAGAGAGGCCTTGGGAGAAATCAACCCTGCTGACATCTTGATCTCAGACTTCTGGCCTCCAGAACTATAAGAAAATCCATTTCTGTGGTTTAAGCCACCCAGCCTGAGGTATTTGGTATGGCACCCTAGGAAACTAATATAACTGATCTGAAAGAAGACAGAATTTGCTCATCTTTTCATATTTATGTGTTATAAGCCCTTGCAGGCTTCAGTACCATCTAGTAGGTGAGTTGATATCTTACAGCAAGAAATCCCTGATAAGCAACAGATGCCTGTCACCGAACTCAAACCACTCCTTAGATGGACTGCAAAGTGGCTGGGTCACTTGTGACAATCATTACATCCCCTCCAATTTCCTTATCTCTAAGGATCTGGCTGGTCATAGTGACTTGTTTCAGTGCAGCCAGTACTCAGTGAGGGCCTTCTAGAAGACAGGCTCTGACACAGGGCTGAGGAGGTGAAAGATGAGTCACATGCAGCCTCTGCCCTCAGAGCTTAGATTCAAGTTAGGGGACAAGACCCAGGGCAAAGACAGAGTGGCAAGGTGCTGACAATACAAAATGTCACCATGAGGAAGGCCCTGAGTTGGGACCTGGGGAAGCAAAGATGACAAAGAGCACTCAGCCTGGGCAGATAGACACCCCAACAGACCTCCCTAGCCCTTCTGGGTTTGTGGTGGGACAGCAGGATATACAGGAGGCTTTGGAGCAATCGGAGGAAACTTAGCCACCCTAGGCAAGCAGGCACACTGTGAAGCTTACTGGTACCACTGGTCTGTCTTAACAAAGTAGCACAGATGGGTGGCTTAAAAAACAGAAATTTAGTTTCCCATAATTCTGGAGACTGAAAGTACAGAACCAAGGTGTCCTGTTTGCCTTCTGGTGAAGGCCACTTCCTAGTTTAGGGACAACTGCTTTCTCTGTCCTCACACATTTCTTGGCTCTGGTTTTGCATATGCACACCAGTCTTCTTGGGTCAGAGGCCCACCTGATGGCCTCATATAACCTTAACCACCTCCCTAAAACCCCTGCTCCAAACCCCTCCCTCCCTTGGGAGGCTGAAGTTTCCACGCAGGATTGCGGAGGTGGAGCATAAGTTAGTCTATGACACTAGGTAAGGAATTGGCCAGGTTGAGAATAGGGAGAAGGACATTTCAGGAAAAAAAAAAAAGAAACCAAATTAAGGTTCAAAGGGAGTAAGATACGTTCAAGAAACTGAGCCTGAACATAAGGTGCATGGAGAGAAATTAGAATCAAGGCTGATTTAATCTCCACAGATAAAGTCCTGTCACTTGGGAGTTGAAGCCAGCAATGTCAAAGTGGAGGGTCCAAGCCCCTCTGTGTCTCACCCGTTTTCTTTGCATCATACCACACTATTAGCTGTGTACACAAGCAACTGCAGTGCAAAGCAGATTATGAACAGGGCTCTTGGAAAGGACACTTGCATTAGGGAAGGCTTCATAAGATGTCACTTCCTGAGTGGGCCTTGGAAGTGGAATTGGTGTTGGGAGGAGGTGAGGGAGAGCAGAGTGGGAGAGTGGAAGGAAAGGAGGGTCCTCTGGGAGAATCAAAGGAACAGCATAGTCATGTACAGAGTCAGGGCACCTCAGAGAACAGTGAGAACCACTCATAGGCTGTACTTCAGAGGAACCCCCCCCCCCAAATTAACGCTCATGGTGGGAGAGAAATCATTCCCTGCTCCTGAACAGCCAGGAGGCAGGCACTCACCCCAGGGCTGCCCTCTCTGAGCCTGGAATCGGATCATACTGGCTGCAGTCATTTTCTGTGGCCCTGACATCTTCACAGTTGTCCTCATCAGAGCCATCAAGGCAGTCCCTGTCTCCATTACACACGAGGTGGCGTTTCAGGCAGCGACCTGAGAGAGGGAAGATGCTCCTGAAAGCCCCTCCCTATGACCCACATTCGAATTCACCAAGCCATTTCCACCTCTGAAGTAGCCCTCCCATCTGCTCCATCCTCTGTCTGTACCCCTCTGCCCTTCTCCCCCCATCTCTAGCTCCCACCTGCAGCCCCCCAGCTCTGGCCTGCCTGTGCCTCCCTCTCCAACTATGCCTTTGCATTGCACCCCCCCCCCCCCCCCGGGAATCTCTCTAAAATGCCAGTCTGGCCGTTATCATCCCCTTGCTCTGTATCTGCAGTGGCTATCCATTCCTCCCCTTCCAAACACGACAGTCTGGCTTCTGGTTACTATTTGTGCCTCAGTGGCCATCACCTGTCTCACTTTCCAAAGCTCTGACATGCAAATGTTCTAAAACAATCAAGGTTTCCTAAATCCCTGTGTCTTTGCATTTTCTTTCTCCTAAAAGCTTATATTTCGTTTTCCAAGTCTCAGCTCAAAACCATTTTGAAGCCTTCCCTGATTCCCCAAAGCAGATTTGGACACTGTCTGCTAGAGATCTTGAGATGCCAGATGACTGTGTGCATTTACCCATTACAATGGCAATTGATTCCTTGGAGATCTCCCTCCCCAACAGAATAGGAGCACCTCAAACTCAAGTACATGATTTTTCTCATGTCTATATTAATAGCAGGTATTTTACAAAATATGGAACAAAGTATGTACCCTGTAAATTCTTGTTCAATGAGTGGATGAATGAATGAATTGAACCTTTTCTGAAGAAATCAACTAGTGTTCCTACAAACTTGAATCAAAATTACTTGGGCTGCTGGCTTGACTAAAATGCAGATTCCTGGGCCCCATTTCAAATCAGCAAAATGACAACCTTTAGGGAAGGGGCTAGGAGCCTGTATTTTAACAAGTTCCCTGGGTAAGTGTTTTGCATATTTTATATGACGGGCACAGCTGTTATCCCCCCATCCCAGAGCTACTCACCTGTCTCCGTGCACTGGAAATCCTGTCCACACTGTTCTTGTCTTAGACAAGGTGTGGGATTGTAACAGCTGGCTTGATCCCAGACATCACCACTGCATATGGTTCCCCCAAACTTGTTGGGCTGCAAGAGGCTCCGATATCGGTACTAAATCAAATTTTGAACCAAACACATTGTTGTCAATCAATCAACCAAGATTTGTGCAGGCAGGCTCAGCTCAACATAAGTCAGAACTGTCGAATGAATGAGACCTGTCTGCAAAGCTGTCTTCTGAGGGATGAAGTGCATCAATAGTAATGCTCTACCAGAGGTGGCACGATCACCAACTGGAATATTGGACATGTACTCTGAGCATTGAATGCAAGACTGGGACAAAAATATTTCATAGGTCCTCCTATTTGCTACAAAGGACCTCTGTTCCCTTCTTCAAATAGTTGATAAACAGTCCTCTTTCAGGATTCCTGGCTTACCTCTCCTAGCAGGCCTTCCTGAACTCAGCAATATATTCTGCAAGCCCACATGCTTCCCTCCCTCCTGGCAGCTGTCATATAAGGTTGCAATGCAGCATCTGCTTATTTGTCTGTCTCTGCCACCAGTCTGGGGGCAATTTGCATAAGTGGGTGGAGGCAGTGAAGGAAAGCCCATGTCTTATTTGGCATCCTATGATTGGCACTTGACCTATGGTCAGGTACAAATTTAGCAGACATTTTTGCTTGTCCTTCATAGTATTCTGCTCATACATCCCTGCTGTCCCTGGATATATCTCATTGGTTCAGGAGGAGATGATCTCACCCCTTCAGTCACAGGATGTATGAGTATTAACCAGGCCAGGCTCATCAGAGACACACAGCTGCCTGTTTGCAATGCTTGCTTCAGGTATTTTGTGTCTTGAAAAAAAATGGCTTCTTTTTATTGGAGGGAAAGGGAAATATGGGTATCACGTGATCACTTTGGCTAGTAGAAAGAGCCCCTCCAAGAGCCAGAGAGACCGAGAGAGCTCTGAAGATTTCATCTGAGTCCCTAAGTCTAGCATGGAATGCAGAGGTCCAAATACATGTTGATGGAAGGATGGGAATAATTAAAATGCCCACAATCTTGGGGCTCTAGGGTTTTGTGATGCTTTTTATGCTGTGCTTGGGGTCAAGTAGTGGTATAGAAGGAGAAAGCTGAACCTTAGGATATTCAGAGAAATATGCTTCCAGAAGCTTAGAGTCTAGTTGAGAAGATAAAATGTAAAATAATACAAAATATGCTGAATGGAGAGTATCTACCATGTCAGGTAAGGGAATTACAGCCCTCTGTTTTCTCTGTCTCTGACCTTGGCTCAGCCCATAGGCCCATCCATCAAGACTGCTAAGATGTAATTAAGAAAGTAATGATCTGAACTGTGAATTCTTGACTCTATTTCTTTTGGTTTAAAGTATCAGTGCCTGGTATTTTGTGCCTCAGTTTCCAAACCTGTAAGATGAGGTGATCGACTTCCATGACCTCACTGATGACAATGACTCATGATTCTTTCACATGTGTCCTACAGCTGAAAGAGCCCTGGCATCAGAATTCGATGGACTTGGGTTCAGATCCCACATCTGCCTACCAGCTGACCACGAGCGAGTCACTTTCTTTTCCTGAGCTCCCGCTTTCTAGTATATAAGATGAGAGTTGTGGCGTCTCACCTTAGGGACTGTGAGATCTCAGGGACACAGTGTGAGGAAGCACCCAGCCCTGTGCCTGGTTTATCACTGGTGCTCAGCAAACAGAGGCAGTTTCCACCTTGCTATCATTATCCATGAAGTCTTTTCTAGATGATTCCAGTGGATGAGTTGTGGAGAGTACAGCTCACCTCTCCTCTTGCCTGTATTAGTCCATTTTCTGTTGCGGATAACTTACTGAGTCTGTGTGGCATTGTGTTATGAAGAAAGGGGGTTTAATCTGGTTCATGATTCTAGAGATACAAGGTCCAGGGCCACATCTGGCCTTTGTCTCGGCAGAGTCCCAGGTGGTGCAGAACATCACATGGTGAGAGTCAGGGAGTGTGTGAGTGTGTGAGTGTGTGTGTGTGTGTGTGTGTCCATCTGTTTAGTTTCTTCTTCTTAAAATGCCACCAGAATTCAATCATGGGGGCTCCAGTCAAATGACCTTATCTAATCTAATCACCTCCCAAGGGTCCCACCTCTCAACACCACAGGTGGATTAAGTTTCCACCCTCTCAGTATTTCACAATACAACACATGAAGCCTTGGGAGACACTCAAACCACAACTAAACCATAGCATGCCCACCCCAGTCTATTTCACTGTTCGTTGGCAAAGGGGCAGAGGAAGTAGGGAAAGGTGGAGATCAAATCTGCCCACTGCCTTTTCTGCCTTTGGGTTAATAATAGTGAGAAGAGATTATAATTAATGATCAGTTCAGATGATCAGGATGTTTCCATTTTCTACTCATTTTCTTGCCCATCAATGTGCAAATAATGGACTGATCCACACACAAACATAGAGCCAGCTCTTTCTGTCTCTTTAAAAAGTATATCAGATTTCTAACCAATGTAGTAGCCACCATGACAACAGTGGTGAAGGAATCTACCATTGATTGAGCACTTACCATTGGCCAAGCACTTGACATCCATGATCTCATTTAATCTTCTCAGCTTCATGAGTTTAATTGTTATTACAATTCCATTTTAAGCTATATTCAAGTTCCAGTTAGTTCTGCCACTGATTCTACAGGCACTACCAGATCCACTACATAATGTCTCTGACCCTCATTTTTCTCATTTGTAAAATGACACACATCTGAGAGTATTGTCAAGGTCAGTGATAATACAGGTTAAAAAAAAAAAAAAAAACAGTACTTTCCCTAGTTCCTGGTATACACTCAGTAGTAACAGCTTTCAACACCATCATCATTCTGGAACTAGCTGTTGGGCCACTCCAGAGGAAACTGGATTAGATGACTGCTAATGTCACTTACGACTTTCCAGTATAGTCTGGGAGTCAGTAGAGTGGTGTGGTCAACCTCTCAGGGTTTCTGGAGTCAGACTGACCAAGGTCTAAATCTAGGCTCTGCCACTTTCTTCATGGATGATCTATACAAAGCGGATGATGGTGTCTATCATCTCCAGTTGGCTGTGAGTATCAAACTAGACAATTTATTTACTCAAAATATTAGTCCAGTGCCTCGTCCATACAAAGTATTGAATAAATGACAAATATTAATGCCCTTGTCATCCTTCCAGTAGTTCCCACACTTGGAAAGAGGCTGTAAGCCTTCAGGTTCATTTCCATCTGTTCTCTGGTTTTAAGGTTGCTCTTAACTAATGAAGATGTGGTGCTACAGGAAGGTTGGTGCCAATACCCCCTCAGGGACTGCTGTGTGCTATTGCCTGTGGTTGGTGTCATTAAGACATAATTTTCTTTACAAGGTAATAGATACTGTTTCTTTTCAGAAATGCACATCTTCGTTTGGGTGGTTTTGAGAGGAAGAAACATTAATAAAAATAAACTAAGGTGGTCTTTTACTTCAATAATTAACATAATTTAATTATCTCAAGGATTACTTTAAAGACACACATGTCTCTTTGAGTCACTAAGGAAGTAATTCAATTCGAACTGAAACTATAAGTGATTCATTTATGCTGTCTGCTATCTAAACTGAGACACATGAGAAAAACTGCAGTGTAGGATCCATAATAGGTGGAGTAATGGCCCCCATAAAGACCCCAGGTCCTTATCTCTAGCACATTAAATGTTGTTTTGTTTGGAAAAAGCCTTTGCAGGATATCTTACAGTTTGGAAATGTGGTTCCCTTGGGTTATCCAGGTAGCCCTAAACATCATCAAAGTGTCTGTACAAGAGGAAGGTAGAGGGAGGAGGCAACATTGAGACCAGGAAGGCAGAGAGTGGAGTCTCCATTTGAAGGATGTTGATGGCCCCCAGAAGCTGGTGGAGAAAGAGACACAAAATTGTCTCCAGAGCTTTGAAAGGTAGCACAACTCTGCTGAGGCCCGGATTCCAGACTCCTGGCCTCCAGAACCAGGACAGAATTGATTTCTGTTAAATCAGCAAGTCTGTGGCAATTGGTTATAGCAGGCTTGAGAAAGTAACACAAGTGGTCAGGGCAGAGTGAAAATTGGGGGGACCACATCCTTCAAACAGGGGAGGTTTAGGATCCTTTGGCTCTTTTTATGTTTTATTTTGAGACAGAGTCCTGCTAAGTTGCTGAAGCTGACCTCAAATTTGTGATCTTCCTGCCTCAGCCTCCCAAGTACAGGCATACACCACTGCACTCAACCCCAAAGTGAGAATTTTAATACTCCTCCTGCCAGAACAGAGGGTACTCAATGCCTCCCTTCCCTTTGTATACCACTGGGTTTGAGGACCATTTTGGATCAATCAAAATCATTTAGGCAGGCAAGATAGGCATACTTCTGTTCCTTGGGCCTATTAGTCTTTTCAATCCATAAAAGTAGAGTCCTCAAGAATGCCCTCTATGATATTCCCTGTTTATCTCTGGTCCCCATGGGTACCCTTGCCCTTGTTACTCAGCTGCCCATGGGCAGGTTGCAATTTATTTTACTAACCCATCATCAGTCCCTCCAGCTAAACTTCATTCAAGGGCAATACATTGGCCAGGACCCAGAGAGACAATGGGAGATAAATGTGCCCAGCTCCAAGTGGACATTTGTTCACCTACAAGTTATAATATATACATCTTTTGCAGCTTCACCCAGTAATGCCTTACAAACAAAATCAGGAGAGTCAGGAACAAGTTTCACCATCTAGGTGCCTGAGGTTTCCAAATACCTGTTCCTTTCAAAGATCAGTTTCTTCCCAGAACACCAGACTCATATCCCCAACTGCTTATCTCCATTTGAGTTTCAAATGCACAGATGAACTAGGAAATGGCCCGGAATGGTTATAGATGGCTTACCTTTTTGTCCTGGCATTGAAAGCAATCTGTCCACTCAGACCAGTTGCTCAGCTGGCAGGCAACCGCTTTGGGGGTCACAGCCTGACTTGCTCTCCTAGAGCGAGGAAGGACGCTGTATCAATGCCAAGATGCAAAGTTTAAGCAAAGGAAAAATGTGTGCCCATTTTCCTACCAGTAAAACATGGAAATGAACATTTATTGTGCTGCCACTATAATGCAGATGTGTACTGGAAGGTTTGTATAAATTGTCCCTTTAATACCATATCCATCACAGGTGGGTCAAATTATTATCACTTTAGCAAGATGAGTACCAAGGAAGACTAACATTTTTTGAAGAGTCAAAATAGCAGAAAGTTCAGTGGTTAGAACATGGGATCCAGGGGCAGAGAACCGAGTTTGAATTTTAACCACTTACTGGCTATGAAAACTTGAACAAGTTACTTAACATCTCTGAGCTATAGCACTCCTGTCTATAAAACTATATTAAAAATAATGTTACCTAATAGTTACTTAAAGTATGTTTAAATGCATATGTTTACTAAAGGTTTTGCTTTTAAGATTACATGCTGGGACATTACATGGACTGTGTCACTTCATCTCTGTGACTGTCCTGAGAGATAAATATTATTAGCCCTATTTCATTATAAGATCTGAGGTTCCTAAAAGTTAAGTAACCCCAGCAGTCATAGCCCAGGGGGGACTGGCAAAATTTGAACTGGTTGTTTGAATGGCAAAACCCACTTCCCACTCCTCACCATGTTGGTTTTTCATTTGATGACAAAAAGGTAATCAGTCATCAGAAGCGAGCGAGGACCTTGCCTGGGCTGACATATCCACAAGCTAAAAACTGGTTTGCCTCCAAGGCTGGGATTGTCTCTTACCCCATGCTGCCTCCTCACAAATTAAAAACCTTGCCCAGGTCACTCAGGGCCAGGGAGAGCAATCCTAGCTTGCCTGGCTCTAAGCCCGAGCCTCTTCCCCAACAGTGTTGCTGCTGCTGAAGGTCAGCCCGCTGGACAAAGGTGGAATGTCATCCCTTACCATCAGAACTGCCACCACCCCTGGGACCTGGGCAGCCCGGCTGTGATCAATAGCACAATTATCTCCCTAGCATAGGGAAAAAATGCTTCAAATCGTGCTGCTTACACATGAGCTGCTACTCATGCCCCAGATGACCCCTGGGCTAAAACCCACAGGCAGACAGCCACGGAGCGGCAGGAAAATCATGTTCCTCTTCACCCTGGTTCTCACAATTTTGGTCTCAGATTATTGAAGACCCCAGAGAACTTTCAGTGAGCTAGATCTATGGATATTCACAGAATTCAAAATAAAAATAGGTATTTTAAAATAGTTGTTAATGTATTTGAAGCTATAAAAACCCATTGCATGTGACCATAAGTAATTTTTAAAATATATGATAATTAGAAGAGTATCATTGTTTTACATTTTTGCAAGTCTCTTCAAAGAGGCTCCTTTATTGGATCTATAGCTATGTGTTGTTGTGGTTGAAGTCTATGAAAAATATCCAGCCCAACACAGTTATGTATTTGGAAAAGGAAGGACTGTTTTACAGGGTTTTTTTTCAAGTGGATATTTGTGGATATGTGGATATTCTCCTTTGTTATTATACCAAAACTTGACAAGTGGTAATTTCTTATATGTTAGGCGCAATGCAGAATCTGAAAGCTTGTCAACAAAATCTTTTGTGCTCTCTTATAATAAAATCTGTTGGTCTAAGTATAGTGAACAGATCTTGTGCCCATACATAATATTTTTAACATTAGGCATTGGAAATTTGGAAAATGGTAACTCATCAAGTTTGCATACCTTATAAATATTTGCACATTCTACTATATAATAGGAAAAATAAAACTTGTTAATATCACTAGTGATCCTATCAAGTTTACAGTGCTGACTGAGTTGTGTTCCTTTTCACATGAAGAATTATTTGTTGTTGGCAACAATTTTACTTTTTACTTTCAAGCGATAGGCTACCTGTGTTCACGTGAAAATATGTGTAAATATAAAAAAATCGTTTCCTGAATAACCATGGTTTGGTGGCAATTATCTATGTCAAGTCAAAACGTGTCCCTCCAAAATGCATACATGGAAGCCTACACAACACCATCAGGATTGTGATGTTATTTGGAAATGGGGGCTTTGGGAGGTGAGTGATTAAGTTCAAAGATTGGATCCCTTGTGAATGGGATGAGTGTCCCTATTGAAGAAAACCTAAAGATCTCCTTCACCCCTTCTGCCACGTGAGGACATGGTGAAGAGACGGGACATTTATGAACCAGGAAGTGGGCTCTCACCAGGTACTGAATCTGCCCACACCCTTCTCTTGTGAAAAACAAATGTTTTCTGTTTAAGCCTATCAGGCTCCAGCAATGTGTTACAGAAGCCCAGAGAGACTAAGACAAGTGGCTGTTGGACTCACAATTCAGTGAACAGAACATCCAAGAATTATGGGACAGCATCAAAAGACCAAACATAAGAGCTATTGGGATAGAGGAAGGCACAGAGTTTCAAACCAAAGGAATGCACAATCTCTTCAATGAGTTAATATCAGAAAATTTCCCAAGCATGAAGAATGAATTGGAAAACTAAATATAAGAGGCTTACAGGACACAAAATGTACAAAATTACAACAGATCTACACCAAGGCACATTATAATGAAAACGCCTAGCATACAGAATGAGGATAGAATCTTTTTTTTTTTTTTTTGATGAATACATTAATTTATTATAGATATTCCATGACAATGCATTGCTCAAAACACAAAGAGGACTGTTTCCCAGGATACTCTATACCTCGTTGCTATAGGAACAAGGGGGCCTGGGAGAACCTCTGGGTCTTACAGCCTAGGACACTGAGGACAGATGTGATAGAACCGTGTGAGCAAGTACACCAGACCCCTGCAGGAGGGTGACTTCAGGAGGAAGTAGCAAGGAACCAGAGATGCAGGGTTGCATGGACATGGAACGTTGGGAAGAAGGATCATATCCAGAGAGATAATAAGGATAGAATCTTAAAAGCTGCAAGAGAGAGGAATCATATCACATACAGGGGGAGACCAATTCATATCTCAGCAGATTTTTTCAACTTAGACCCTGGGAGCCAAGAGATCTTGGAACAACACATACCAAGCTCTGAAAGAAAGTGGGTGCCAACCAAGAATCTTATATCCAGCAAAACTAAGCTTCAGATTTGATGATGAAATAAAAACCTTCTATGATAAACAAAAGTTAAAAGAATTTACAACTAGAAAGCCTGCTCTACAGAACATCCTCAGCAAAATATTTCAAGAAGAGGAAATGAAAAACAATGATGAAAATCAGCAGAGGGAGGGATTACACTAAAGGAAAATCTAATCAAAGGAGAAACCAAGTCATGTTAAATACCAAAAATAAACAAAATTGCTTTTCTTCAAACAATCCTCATACGTCACTGCATTATTTGTGCATTCTTCCCATTTTTCCCATGGAATATTAGATAACATTTCTCAAGGACTGAGGAGTCATAAAATGAACAATTCTTACTCCTTAAAAGAGGACTTTCTTAAGTAAAATTTAATTTTTCCCCCAATGGATATGGTGCCACTGCCTTGTTTTTTTTTTTTTTTTTACCAAAGCTAGAGTGGTTTTATCCACCATTGCTTTTGCATCATCAATGCTGATACAAACACAGTGAAAAGGGCAAATAATGTCCCACCATTATTATGAAAATTGTTTTGAACCTACCTGGGTCTGTGAATCAAAACTGTTAATAATACTGAGACATTCTTTGCACTTTTCATCATGTTTATATTTGCACTGGACTCTGCAGAACAGGCTCAGAGAAACTCTAATCCATCAAATGATGTTAGAATGTAACATCAGCCTATCATCCCTTCAAAAGAACTTCAGAAACTTCACAAACTTCCTCTCCACCTGGATTCCTGTCATCTCTTGACTCACATCCCTTTAACGAGCACTCTACCCTCTTGGTGCCTCCTTTTCCTTATTGCTTATGATCTTCTCTGCACTCTAGAACCTTTCATCATCATATTCTGGACCTCCTCTTCTCTGAAACAGCTTCTCCTCCAAATCACTAATTTGTGAATCACCTGTGAATAGTTACTTGGGCCTCCACTGCTGTTCCTCCTCCTTTTTTTAATCTACTCAAGGTCTCTCTCTGCACTTTCCTGGGACCTCACTGGGCCTCCATTAACTTGACACCCATGCTTTCTGTCACTAAGACACTTTATATCTTTATTTTTCTTTTGGTTTCATTTTGGATTCCACGGTTTGTCACTTTAAAATATTAACTAGGTGTGTTTCCTCCTTTACACCTACCTGTACAGCCCAATCCTGAGTGAATTCAACTATCTATTTCTTCACCTGATTAACTCCTAAGTATCTTTCAGACTCATCAAAAATTTCAATTCCTTAGGGAAACATTTCCCAATACCCAGACTATTAGCTACCTCCCTTCATATGATTTGGTCAATTTCTGCATGTCTTTTCAAAAATTAATTATCACACTCGCAATTTAGGTGTAATTCCTGTCTCTTCTACCAATTCTAAGATGTATGGATGCAGGTACCACCTGTATTTTCTACTGAAGTCCTACCATCCATCATCGGCAGGTACATAGAAGGTGCTCAGTAAATATTTTGGAAAGTGGGGAAAAAAGAAACAAAGAAGAAGAGAAGGAGAGGAAGAAAAAACTACAACCAGTTCCTGGGAAATAAGCAGTGACAGAGTTGAGAGATTTATTTGAATCTGACTCCTGGTTAGAATCTAATTAAATAATCTAGAAATTCAAATAGCTCAAGGTTTGGTTTACCCAAACCTTGGTCTATCATTTTTATAATAGGTTGCCCTGGTAATGAAAGAATGAATGCAGAAACATGGAGAGAGAGAAAAAAATTCTGAGAAGTTATAGGGTGAAGATTTGGGAACAGAAAAGGACTCCAGCATTATTCTGCATCTCACTACAGAATTGTCAAGATAATGTCATCGTAAGCCCATGGAAACTGCATTATGATATCAACATGGGAGAAAACAGTATTAATGGTTGAAAGCAAAAGCCTGGACAGAGCAGAGAGC